CTTATTTTAAATTTCGGCCAATAAGAGGGGCGCTTATATTCGAATGGGGCGCTTATTCGAGGGGAGGTGGTGCTAATTCAAGGATTTACGGTATCACACTACGTCATTTTTTTATTTATTATCTTTTAAGGGTTTTTGTTTCGAATTAAATTGAAAACAATTTTAACTTTATATAGCTAAGGTATATTTTATTCATCTGTAAGGGTTTTTGTTTCGAATTAAATTGTAAATAATTTTAACTTGATGTAGCTAAGGTATATTTTAATATGTAAATAGTGTCCCCAATTAGTTTTTGTAAGCTAAATACTATTGACACTTCAATAAAGTTGTTCATTCCTTCCTTCCTTCCTTCCTTCCTTCCTTCCTTCCTTCCTTCATTCATTCATTCATTCATAAATGCATATCGCAAAGAATAAAGAATAAAAAAAAGAATACTGAATTCACAGAGAACGACCATCAAGCTAAGTCGCAAGAAAGTAAGAACATCGCAGCTAATAAGTCGCTGCTAGCCTAGCTCACAAAAAAGTAGAAAGTCGCAGCTATGCCGCAAGAAAATAGCAAGAGAGAAGCAGCTACACTGCAAGAAAATAGCAAGAAAGCTAAGTCGCAGCTAAGTCGCAAGAAAGTAGCAGGAAAGGCGGTCGTAGCCAAGTCGCAAGTAAGGCAGCCAAGTCGTAAGTAAGTAGGAGCTGGTAAGCCACAAGTGAAAAAAAGTGGGAAAAGTGGATGTCCCTCTGAAAGCTTCCGGAGTCCACCGCAACCGAAATGAAACGGCCTTGGTTTTTCTGCTTCATCAGTATGTGAGAGAAGGTCGTACTTTCGTGGAGTCCGTACTTTCGCTTAGTTCAGGTGAAACGTGTACCATATATGAATAGATCCATCTGAACAAAACACTGAGAAATGTTCTCAGTATATCATCATCAGAGCTGAAAAGGATACTGAAAAACTGTTGAAAATAATGAAACAGTCAATTCGAAACTTCACTGATCCCTCCGGGCCGTTCGTCCGCCCAACCCGCGGGCAACAAACCCCGAGCAAGCCCCGAGAAATACCCCCCGGGCTGCCCCCTAGCAAAACCTCCGGGCAACCTCCTGGGCATTAGAACATTTCGAATTTTCAGCTGGTCAAATTTCCTTCCCTCGGTCCAA